TGTCATATGCTGACAGCTAGTTTTTGGGACCAGGCTTCGTCCAGGAGCGAAAGCATTGATTCAGAAAATTACATCTCTGATAATGATGACCCAAAATGATCACTTTAAATGTGCTGCCTAATCACATTATTTGAACAGTGCATGATTATAGGATTTGCGGTTTTAGGTAGGGCTGCGGGGCCAGTGTGGTATCGCACGTTGCGGCGCTGGTTCAGGAGCAGGTTTGGAAAATCTGACCCCTGCAAGACTATGCAAAATGCAGTCACGAAACTTAACAGGTGTGCAGTTGAGATAAAAAAAGGCCAAATTTGAAGATGAGGGTGGTCATAAACAAGAGGGTTTGGAAGTAGCGGGACAGGAATTAGGGAAGGGTCCATTAGGTAATGTTTCCTTGAATATTCATAGAATATATAACGTCATACTTTGTAGGACGCTTGGCTCGAGTTTTATTAATTTTCCATGGACGATTGTGTTATGCGCTTCTTTGCGCACTTGCAGGTCTAATTGACAAATAAGGCTACTAAAAATTAGCCCAGTGACACCTTTAGCTGTCTCCTTCGTTCTCATGATCCCCACAGATCATAGTGAGAGTCTCCCGTAAACACCCGCTAACACTATGGTTGGTGGGAACTGTTGTTGTTGACAGCGGTTTCCCTCGATTGGCCACAAAGAGCGGCGAGGATTCCAGGCTTAAAAACAAACTTGAACGAGCTGCACAAAGATAAGATTTACGCTTTAGAGAAATTATTTTCAGCTTTTCAAGTGCTTCAAGGAAAAGGACGAACTTGTTGGTTTGGCAAATTGCACACCTGCTTAACTTTCCCACCTCTTGTGCACAGCTGTTTCCTTGAGCTTCTCTACAGGAAGCATGCAGAGTTTCTCCCACACAGTGGATGAGACGGTCCAAACGGGGCTACTGGACGACTACAGGAACACAAACTGAGATGATAGAGAGACAACCAGAGCTGCTATACAGAACATTTGCTAAACCACACAACTGCTGCAGTAAAATCAAACTTCAGTTGGATCCAGGATCTGTCACACATAACCACCCTCCTGTGCAAATGTGTCAATTTGGGGATTATCATGACACAAATATTTTAGCTTTTGGTGGAGATTACCAAGAATGGCAACATCACCTTTCACTACAAAGATGCAGCTTAAAAAAAAATGAGCCAATTAAATGCTCCTCTTTCACTACACCCCGACTGAATGGCTCAAACACACCTCCCTCGCCATTCTGCACTGGCCTGAGCAGATAGAGTAGAAACAAAACGCCAGGGACAGAAGAGACACTGCCACCTAGGGGCAACATGCACATCGACATGGTGAAGTAAAGCAGTAGAGAGGAGCATGTGTTAAACTCCTGGTGGTTTGGCAGGAGCTGTTGGACGCCTGGAGGAGAAGAGGATCTATCACTGAGCAGAGCATGTGCTTGAGAAGAAAGACAACTGTATTGACAAGAAGAAACTATTACACATACCCAGTTAACCTACTTGGTCCAGTTCCAAAGCATTTGAGTGCTTTTTATATAAATGAGACAGAAAGATTTGGGCATTTATTCATGGGTAAATACCACTTAAACTGATAAGGAAAAAAAGAAACAGTAATGAATGAAATAAGCAGAGAGAAAGAGAAAGAGAGAGACCAGATAAGACCTCATAGACACATGCGAATATAAAAATAGAAGACATCAGCTCTCTGACATGAGTGTTTACAAGGGGGGTTCGCAGCCCATTTAGATGCTTATTCAACAGTGAAAGATTATTTTACAAGCGTTCCCATCAGTCTAAGTGTCTTTTGTTTCACTCCAACATAATGGCTGTCATCCTACTGTAGCTCTGATGATCCATTTACAGTATGGGCTACCAAGGTTGTTTCTATTATAGCATAAAGTGATTTAAAACTCAGTGTCTTTTAGGTTTTAAGAGACAAACAAAGATGTTAATTTTTAAAGGAACTCCCAAAAAAGAACAAAAACAAGGAGCTGTTCCAAACTGAACATAGCTATATATATATATATGTGACACTTCAGGAGCCTATTGTGGACAGTATGCTGGGCTGTTTTTTATTTTAAGAACAGAGTTGCAACGCCTTTATTAAACAAAGAGCCCCCCTGGATTGGATTCATTTGCACAACATAGATTTTAGGATGCGGCTCGACTCTATGGAAGATTTAAAATGCCAACATAAAAACACATCCAACACAGAAATAAAGTTTGCATGTTCTCCCCGTGTCAGCGTGGGTTTTCTCCAGGTACTCCAGCTTCCCCCAACAATCCAAAGACATGCAGGTTAATTGGTGACTCTAAATTGTCCGTAGGTGTGAATGTGAGTTTTAATGGTTGTCTGTCTCTGTGTGTCAGCCCTGTGATAGTCTGGTGACCTGTCCAGGGTGTACCTGACAGGGTGCCCAATGTCAGCTGGGATAGGCTCCAGCCCCCCCCACAATGACCCTCAAGAGGATAAGACCATTTTTTAGCTTTAACTACTGACTTTAAATTTGGTTACATTTCTGATGTCACTAATTCTGATTACGCATTTCCATTTCAAAAAAGAGAACGCTCCCTTCACCTCCTCATGAACTAATGATAGTGCTTTACATGTAGTCCTGGCAGATCTATGCTGCTCTCTGCTGGACAACACTGGAATTAAATACATTTTCTCACTGTTTTCTGAGTTGTTACTTGATTTTAGAAACACAGCAAACTTGAAAACACAAAATTTTTACCAGCGGCAACAACACTGCAACAGCCAGCATTGTTTTCATCTTGTGAGTCTGTGTGTGTGCCATCATGGCAAAATATGGTGCTGGAAATGCAGATTGTAGCGGGATCTACCACAGAAGCTGTTTGGAGTACTTTAGCAGGTGTTTATACGTCTCTCTGTCTGTGGAAAGGTTTTGTCATTGTGAAAGCTTCACAGCTGTGAAGCAGAGTCCCGTTGGTACTTGGCCTGGTGATATTTTGTCTTAATTTTATTTATGGGTTCGGTGCTGGGCGAAAAAAAAAAAAGACCTTACGGGTCGGGTCACAGTCATTGGATGATACGTATATAAAAGAAAAATGATAATAATCAGAATTTAATTTAATGTTTTTATATTCTAATCCTCACGATTACAGTAATCTCCACGATTACTGTGGAGATGTGCTGCTCAGTATTATGAGAATAAGGCAAAAAAAAATTAAAGTGTATTTTCTGAATTACTTTGGTTTTAAAATATATTATCTCAGTTAGACATGTATGAAATGTACCAAAATGATCACTTTGAACGTGCTGCCTAACCAAATTATTTGTATAGTGCATGGTTATTGCATTTGTGGATTCAGGTTGGGCTGTGGATCCTGAAATTTAACAGCTGTGTAGCAGAGATCAAACTGAAGGCCAAGTTTGAGAAAGGGCGCTGAAAGTATTTAGTGCCCCTGGCCCACATTAGTGTTATGTCGCGGACCGCTGTATCGCAACTCGATTGATCTCATTGCAAGATTGTTTTTGATATTAAGTATTTTTTGTATTAAAATATCTTTCTTTTCTATTCCTGTAAAATATTTTTGATGACTCACCTTGAACTCAGGGTCGGTCACATAAATGTATCTAATTAAATGTGATCGGGGAAACGAGCTAACCTGTCCGTCATATACAACCACACTTGACTGTTAGTTTGTGGGTAGTTAGAAGAGCAACACCTTAGTAGGAGATGTCTGGATTTAAAGGTCCAGTGTGCCGGATTTAGAGGCATCTATTGGCAGAAATGGTATATAATATGAATAACTATGTTTTAATTACTTTTTAATCACCTTGAAAGAGACATTGTGTTAATGTTATCTTAGAATGAGCCGTTCATATCTACATACGGGGCAGGTCCTCTTCTATGGAGTCTGCCATGTGTTTTTTTTTTTTTACAGTAACCCAGAGGAGACAAATCAAACATTAGCCCTAGACAGGGCCATTTGCCTTTTCATGTTGGACACCATAGTTCTCAGATATGCTTGGCACACTGGAGAAGTTTGCTGCTAAATGCCACTAAATCCTACACACTGGACCTTTAAGATGGCAAAAACTTCATTTCCAAACAATGTGGATGAGGTATTAACAAGATGTATCTATATGTGACAATGTGCATTTTATTTCAGTTTATTTCAGTTGGATTCTTTTGCATTTTAAATCTTCCATACAGCTTAGCGCTAACAGCTGATACCTGGCATGGAGAGCTGCACCTTGTTACAATTCATTTTAGCATGCTTGGATCAATACTTTCCAGAAGTAATTACATTTGTCAATTCAAGGACAAATCACAGATTGCTATCACTTTAAAGCATCAGATGCTTGATCATGACTCTTGCAACACTGGCTAATTACGAGTTTATCTGCAGTAAAACTGAGAAGTTCTTGCTCCTGACAGACATGTTTTTCTTTGATGTTTCTTCACGGGCAAGGACCTTTAGGGGAGAGCAAATGTTTAAAGTTTTATGTGTCTTATGCCTAAGCAGGCACCCGCTCGGAAGAAACAACACATCTTTTTGCTCATTCATTTGGAAACACTGTGTGCCAGTGTGGCTCCTATTTCCATCCAAGGTGTGGTATGCCAACCTCGACTCAGAGGATGCGTGCTGCACAGAAACACTAAAACCTTTCTTCTCTTTGCTCCCTCCCTCCGCTACCGGCAAACAACAAGAACAAACAAACGAAACAAAAAAACAAGATGGCAGAGGAGTCAAAGAGAGCCAGAAACAAAGCAGCAGGAGCGGCAAGTTTTACACAGGACAGGAGTGTCTTTTACACGTCACAAATAATAATATCAATAATAAAAACTGGCCTATAACCTAGGAATAACTGATAACAGAATGAAAAAAATCTTTCAATATCAAACAAGATGAGAATTCATGTCAACCAACACAAAAGGAGCAAGATAAAACTCAGTTGTAGAGACTGTGGTAGATACCGTTGGAGTGGGTGGGGGAGGGTGGGGGTGTGGGAGCAAAATAGAGGAGATTACATACATCGTGCCCTTTCTCGCCATCGCCGTGGTTGAGTCTGCCGGCCTTGCCGTTGCGGCTCCGCTGCTGGGTGTGGTCCCCGTTGTGCCACGCGGCTGGAGTGTTGGTGCCTGGGGACAGCGAGGTGCCGGACGCCTTCTGTCCGTCCGTCTTGTGCTTGGAGTTCGGTCTGGAAGAGCAGAGCCACACAGCAACACACAAGGTGAAGTTCAGCCAAAAATAATGACTTCTGTTGACCTAAATTACAGCCCAAAGTTCTCAGAGTGAATTTTTGACTTAAATGAAAATTGAAAGTAAGAATTCTTCTCTTCAAAGGAATACTTCACCCACAAAATGATTATTTGTACATCAGTTACTGACCCTGCGTTTCACTGAATTTGTGAAGAAAACTTCAGCCCTGTTTCCACCGAGCAGTACAGCACAATTCAGTTCGGTTTGCTTGTTTTCTGTTTCCACTGCGAAAATTTGTGGGTTGTCTATTAAAATCACACAGGATTGCTGAACACCATATTGGTTTTTAGTTTTTTTAAAGAATGAACAATGGGGAGGATGTAATATAAATCTTCATCTCCAACGAGCTATTCCAGGTATTGACAAGGAAGTGTGGAATAAAAAAGATGATATCTGTGCATCTTTTCTGATCTCTCTTTGCTTTAAGTGGCTGTATGTCACTTGATAAATGTGTCTTATTTTTAACACTAGGCAAAGAACTTTTTCTGTCATTAGTTGGCTCTTCAAGCTTTGACGAATCCAAACTCAGAAACTTTGGATAAATGTGATGCTGTATTTCATAAAATAAACATTCTGCCCTGTCAGTGACTTCTTTAGAGAAAGAAAAAAAAAACTAAAAATAATTTGAAAAAAATGTTTAAATGCTGTTTAAGATATCAGAACAAAGTTAAACAAAAACAGAATAAGACAGGATGTAAACTGGCATCAGAAAAATAAAACTGCATCCAAGAAAACTTACCAGAAATCCAGAAATATCAACCAACTTATAGAATAACTTCAGTATTTTTCAACCATGTTTTTGAGTCCAAGTGATTAATGGGAACAGCAACTTTAAAATATGGTTCAGTTTCGGGCAACCGTGAATCATGCTGCAATGCAACCACTCCGTCAGTTTACATCCATTAAAAAAGTGTCTGTTTTTGTCACTGACCTTTTAGTAAGATCCTTTTTGTTTAACCAGAAACAGCCCCAAAATCACCATCACCAATCCCACCAGACTCCATTTGATCAAACAGTAATTTTTGCGTGTATAGAGCCAGCATGTTTTCACGTCTACAGTAACTGGGTGAATTTAGGGTTTATTTCAACCAAACCAGAGTTGGTGATTGTTGGAACAGTGGAAAGATAAACCAAGATCAAGACTTTCTGAGTTTTATTTTGTTTCTGTCAACGTGTGTTTTATGATAATGCAATTATGGTTTATTTAGATGGAGTCTAGTGGGTTTGGCGATGGCAATTTCGGGGCTGTTTTTGGTTACACAAAAAGGATCTTACTTTCTAACAGAAGGGTGTATAGGCCAAAACACAGTGTTGGCAAACGCTGTGCATCAAAAATACGCCCCTATAATTTTCAATGTACAACCCCACACTGGTGGCAGCTAGATGCACATTGGCGCTCCTGGACGCGTTACCCAACGACACTTCACACCACTGTCCTATTTCCAGCCTTACTGCCCCCAGAATTAAATGCATTTCCTCCACATTCCCTCTCTGCTTGTGCAAATCAGCTACCGTAGCAGCTCTTTTTCTCTGCTCCTATGGCAGCTCGATTCCCCTCCTCACCATTGATGTATAAAGAGAGACTCGTTGTTGAGGTTGAGAAATATCCAGAGCTAAATTACCCTTAATCACATCATTATAAAGACAAAGGCCAAAAAGATATATGGCGAGTCATAGCTCTGGGGATCAGCTCCTCAGGTGAGAAATCAAGTTTAATTAGAGGCTGTCGACAAATGATTTTAAGCTAAAGCAGAGGTGGAAGAGGTGCAGATCTTTAAGTAAAAGTAGTAATAAGTTTGCGTGGTCGTCTGTTGACGATTTGCAACGCAATGCATCCAGTGTGTGCTAGGAAAGGTAAATGGACTGCACTTGTAAAGTGCTTTTTTTTAGTGTTCTTACCAAAGTGCGTTCACAATACAAGTCACATTCACCCATTCACACACACATTACACACTAGTGGCCTAGGCACCACACACTGCTACTCAGTAACCATTCACATACACTCACACACCGATGGAACAGCCATCAGGAGCAAATCGGGGTTCAGTATCTTAGCTAAGGATACTTTGGGATCAAACCCCTGATCTTCTGATTGGTATACGACGTGCTCTACCTCCTGAGCCACAGCCGCCCCTTTCATCTTATCTCTGTACGGATCCTTTCCATAGTGTTGTCAGACCCATATAACGACTGAGCCTGTCAGTTTAAATTAACAGTAATTGTATCATAATAAAACACAGTTCATTCAAAGGCAATAGAAACAAAATAAAATCCACAAAAACAGCCTTGAGTCCTCTTTCCACCGTTCCAATAATCACCAACTCTTGGTTGGTTGAAATAAATCCTAATTCACCCAGTTAGATGTGAAAACATGCTGGCTCTATACACACACTAAAATTACTATTTACTTAAATGGAGTCTGGTGGATTTGGAGATGGTGATTTCAGGGCTGTCTCTAGCGAAACAAACAGAATCTTACTCTATCTCTGTAGTGATTCTGTAGGGAAAAATACTGAAGTCACACTTTAAACATACAGTAAATTTAGCTTTGTGAAAAAAAAAAAGATGTTCCATGCTACATAAAATGACTAACAGTTCTAGCAACAGTGAAGATCAAACTCAATATAAGTACAGAGTGACATTACAGCCATTTAATAGGCGTTATTATAGGAGCACCATTTGTATCCTAATATATTCCCAGAAGACAGAGTGTAAATAACACTGGCAGTCACCAGTGCAACTGCTCGGCAGTTAGTTGAGCAACACCAGTGTGTGAAAAAGCCAAGTGTAGGTGTTGATATGTGTTTGTGTGTGTGTTGAGGAGTCTACCTGGCAGGAGATTTGGAGGTGCTCCGAGTGGAGGACAGGGAGGCGCTACGGGAGCTGCAGCAGCTGCCTTGACGCTGTGAACTCCTGCTGGGGGTCTCACCGGGGGACCTGATGAATGACAACCAATGGACGAACACACACCACACACACACATGCATACATATGCATACATAAAGCCATGTTGTATGTACGCATACATCACGGGGACACACATGCCACAGCGAGCTCAGTCGACAATCTCATGATATGTAAAACAGTTCATGCACTGCCAAACACCTTCAATATATATTCTAATCAGGACAGGGTGCGATGTATGGCACGGGGGGTTTGTTGAACTCACACATTAGTGCTTAGAAGATGCGATCTGCTACATTCATTAACATTCTCTGAGAGTGTCAGTGTAAGATAATGGGTGTAAAATACCAATATAAATTTATGAGAGACTGAACGTGATTGCAGTTGTACCTTTTGTTAAAGACTGAGAGTACTGTTTGTTATACTGTGTGCAGAGAACAAATTGTGCTTATTCTTACACACTACACACTGTATATGTACATCACATTTGACTGATGTGATAATGACGTGAAACTTTGTTGTAGAGCAAAAAGCAGATGTGTAGTTATTTCAGTCAGCTCAGCAACAACATGCAAAGCCAACCTTACACCAAATGACTTTTCAAGCCATTTCACTATCGCTGACACATTTCCAAAGTCAGTACAAGGTCATGATAGTTTTGTGCGAGTTGTGACTCCCATGATATTGTTGTAAGGTGGGCATAATGCTCAGTCCGAGCTGTCTTGTGTCAGACTTTTCCTCGATATGATGTTAAGCAATATTCAAACTTGTCTATTTGCACCTGGGTGAGAATAGTCACACTGCAGCTTTTTGGACAATGCAGCATTACTATGGATCCCACTGCATGCTGTTATTGGCTGGTTCTAGACACACTGACAGGTCAAGGTTGGCAGTGGTTGGGATAAAGCCAAAAAAGCCATGGTTTGGGCTAGTACTAGCCAATCTTGGATATTCTCTGTGATTAAAGTGGCACAGGAGACTGGGGCTGAATTCCTGTGTGAGTCAATGTTGGCTTATCATTTTAAGACTTGGCTGAAGTATTATGCTGGATTTATACTTCTGCACTGAATCGATGCAGTACCCTGCGCCTTACCCTGACATGCACCTCCCCAGAAATGTTACTGCACGTCGCAGCGGCGCAGACCTCCTGACTATTTTTGTAAGCTGAAACCATTTCCCTCAGTGGAAATGAAGCTTTTATTTATTTTAATTTCGGAGGGTGGAAACAATACATTTTGAAGACAATAAAGCCTTCACAAAATAGCATTTTAAGTTTTGTGTGTAATACAGATTTATACTTCCAGATTTATCCTGGCCTCACATGAGCAGAGGAAATCTCTGCTTGTTGCTAGGCTAATGTATACAATGTAAGATGCCATAGGCTTGTGCTAATAACATTAGCATATATTTGTTTGGAAAGCGTGTTTAGTATAAGACAGTTGTTTTGTCAGTGAACCTTGTGAGTTAAAACAGAGCTGAATTTTGTAATGTTACCTTTGTTAAATGTTGCTGTTGTCACCAGGCTTTATATAGGTAGTGGAAAAGTCTGCAAGCCGCTAGGCTAATTTATACAATGTAAAATGCCATAGGCTTGTGCTAAAAATATTAGCATGTTGTATTTGTGGGGAAAATGTGTCCAGATAAAGGTAATTTGTCATGCCAAGCCATGTTTAATGTGTGTTTTGAATCAACTAAACTTTACAGCACTTCACAGAAACCTCCACCGCCAACTAGTGTTTTGGAGGTGTAACTGCAGAGTGACACAGACACACCACCGTAGAAGTATAAATGCTGACAACAGTGTAGGCTACGTGTGTAGGAGACGGTGTAAACTTTAGCAGAAAAGCTGAAGAGACCTGTTTATGTTAACGTCATATTTCAACGTTGCTAGGACATTTATATTTACAACCAGGTCAAAATTTAATTTTTGAAATGGTTCACCTCCCATTCCCACTATAATAGTGCAGATAACCAATGGAGGCTGGTAGCAAGTTGATGCAACTAAATCCAAAATGTAAAGTTTGTAATCAAATAACTTATTTTAATGGGTAATACTGATGCCGAATTGTCAAGAATACTGTTATGATACTGACAATTACTGATATATAACACCTTTTATCTTGTGCTTCTAGAGTTATGTGTTTTTGTGGACACATAACGAATTGTTAATATGTCATATGTCTTAAAGGCAGTTTGGTGTTATGTTTACCACCAAGAGCAGGATGGGAAAAAAAATCTCCCAGGGAATCTAGATGTAGTTTTGTACATGTCTTAAAAGTCTATTCACAGTCCTCTAGTGTTTGGTTGACATATATGGTATTACAGTGACTCCATATGCATCTCACCTCTTCTTCTGTTTGTTCTTGTCTTTGTGTTTGTTCTTTGGGCTGCCCGATCTGAAACAAATGTCACACGAGACATAATGAAGCTGTGTGCTTTAAAGCACAGCAAACACACATTCACACCCTTTGTACAAAAAAAGGAAACTCAATGCACCACTCACCCATATGGATTGCATTGTCTTTTGAACAATCAGTAGGCAGAAACGACAATAACACACACCTTACACATGTTATGCATGTTATAATGTATTGGTTTTTTTCTTGCTGCATACACACCTGTATCTCCTCTTTTTCCTGGAGCCAGACGCAGATCTATAAAAGGTAAAAACACAACAATCATCATCATCATGATCTGAAAAATTCATATACAGTAATGCTACGGCTGTGAAGCAGGTGTCTGTTCCAAGAAGCAGGTTCACTAACTTTATACAGAGAAGGTATTTTTACATCCATGCTCCAGATTTGAGGCAGTTCTGGGAATTACTAAACTGCTTCTTGAAATAAATTCTGGGACATCTGAGGTAGTATTTTGGACAATTGCTGGAGGCTGAACCCAAAGTCTAATCTGTGCTGTGTGCCACTTTTCTATTTACTCTGGAGGTGAGTAAGCTTGTGTTTAGCAGCAGTGTATTTACACCAATAACTACTCATATAACTCATATACTGAGTGGTGGAGTAGGTTTTCTCAAGTGCTGTACTTTAGTACTTGTACTTTATTTTCCTTTTATGCAACTTCATACTTCTCCTCTAGCAAAGTATTTACATAATTGACAGCTTCTCAGATGACATATTTCATCCTCTTCCTGTCCAGTAAAAACATGCATCTCTAGATATGTTGGTATTAAATGTTTGTGATTAATTGAAAGATGACGTGTCTCTATTTGTGCTGAGAAAATTCTCCTTCTTGGGGTGCCCGGTGTCGTAGTGGGTAGAGCAGGCGTCCCATATATGAAGGCAATGTCCTTGGCGCAGTGGCTGCAGCCTGTGGCCCTTTGCTACACTTTATCCCCTCTCTCCTCCTTTCACACTTAAACTATTTAATAAATTCTAAATTCCCCTACTTCTTAAGCTAAAAAAATTCTTCAAAAACCCTCTTGGATCAGATGGAAAATGCAACATCACAAAAAGTGTTTTGCCGACACCATGAAAGGTTGACTTTTTAGAGATCCGTGGCTCTTACAGGACAGTCATGCCAGAAACATACAATGATCTTATAGAATATGAAGGACCTACTATGTTCATTCTCAGATTCATACTCTAATTCAATGTCAATTAAATTTTATTTATAAAGCCCAATATCACAAATCACAATTTGTCTCTGAGTGCTTTATAGCATATGACATCCCTATGTCCTTGGACCCTCACAGCGGACATGAAAAACATATATATATAACATATATCTCTGTAACATCATTGCACCCGGGGAATGACTGTAATGGAGAATAGCGATACTTTCTACCATGAAATATCACCAATAAAAAAGCTTCTAAACATAACTGGACATTTTCCAGTAGGAATATGACCCGAAATCAGGGGGAAATTGACAGCATCAAGATTACATTTCCCTGATGTCAGCAGGTAGCTACATGTAGCAGTGTATGTGATGTTGCAGTAGCGTGTATCGTGATAATATTGTATTGTGGAGCCTTTGGTGATTCCCACCCCCCCAGCATATACTCAATAAAATATCTGTGTACGTATGATGACAAAAAAGCCTTGACATATTAATGAACACAGGATTCTAAATATTACAGACACAGACATACAAAGCAGTGTCAGGCTACAGCTCCCAGTCTCAGGCTTAGTTTTGTCACAGAATATGAACATGTTCAAGATTCTGTGAACAGCAGGAGGATCATGTATTTTCATGTGCCAACTCCTACATGGAATATTTCAGCATGTATTTCTGCACTCCTAATGATGTGCATGCATTCTGAGTCACATGCATACATCCATATCTACAAAGGTGTCCACAGGGAGCTCTCACTTCAGGCGTTTCCACTTGCTTTTCGCCAGGTTGTGGATGTCACGCTTATTTTTCCTATTGCTGCCTGTACAGTAGACGATGCTGCTCCCTGCGATACAGCAGCAATAATAGCCCCAGATTCAGTTTCCCTTTGACCACGTATCTAGCACATAGTAATGATGGGGAAGCCGGCCATTCCTCAGTCCTCAGCGTTCAACTGACACATCACCTCCATATCACTTTCACCCTCATTGCAGTTTCCATGGTGATTAGTCAGGCCAGTCTGCGAGTTGCTGCTATTTTCCTGAACAGCACTTCATCCCCCCTGCTGTTTTACACACCTACAGCGTGCAGTGGAGTGGGAGGCAGTGGCAACACAAAGTGTGTTGATCCACTGAGAGGGGAGTAATAAAGCTGTCACAGTAACGTATATGTGGCTGATGTGTGACTCAGAGCGGTAGCAGCACATGTTTCCCCACTGGAAGGAATCAACTGGGGACTTTACTGTATATGAGGCGTTATTTTGGAGAGCCCATTTTTCTTCTTCTCCCACACACTCTGGTCACGATAAAATCCCTCACATCACCTTTTACTGGGTCGCTTTAGCTCCACTAAAGGCCAATTCATTGTTTCCGCATGTCTGCAAAGGTCTATATGGACGCCTGTGTGGATGTCAGCATGCAGCCCATTTTTTGTGACCACGTGAACTGTGACTGCTCCAATTACAAAATATAATCTGTTGTTCCACACTCCAGTCCAGTTCAACACACTGCGGTCAAGCCAGCCACAGTTGGCGCACTGCAGTGAAGTTAGTTTTAAGTTGGATATTCAGCGGACATTCAATCCGGCACCAACAATGTCTTCTTGGATTCATTTTCACCTGATGTCGGCAGTAGGATGGTAAACTGCCGAATGGGCTACACACGGAACAAAACTATGTAAAACTATGAATTGGCCTTAAGTTGGCCATTTTGAATTTTGTGCATTTTTCATGTATTTCATGCAAACCTTTACAAATTCCTCCTGGGGGGGTAATCGAATTTGTTTAAAATTTGCGTGGTATAACCCTCCAACTATGATTCCAAATGTGAAAGAATAGTCAAAAGCTGGGGGCAATGATGTCATAGATCATGTAAGAACACGCCACTTTGGGCACTTTACAGGAATTAAACTTTACGAAACTCTTTCGAGAGGATTCAACAGATCCATCTCAGTTTGGGCAGCAGAATCTCAAGACATTCACAATGCTGAACTGCAAAGCTTTTGTGTTTTCATGGAATGGTGTGCATGTGGCAAGGTGTGCAGTTAGCATGTTTCAACGTGACACAAGAAGCTGTTGACTTTACAGTCCAATCTGCACCAGACTTCACATGATGGATAACAGTCTGCACCTGAAGACATCTACAGGCCCATATCAGCTGTGCTTCAATTCAGGGGTTGCAGCCTTTGAAGGCTGTATTTGAAGACCGATTGCTTCACATTGGCGCAACCAAGACTGTCCCATTTGGAAGGCTCCTTCAAATGTGCCCAATGCAGCCTTCTTTACCAGAATTTGTAGGATGCAACGGATGAATCCTTTGTGGCCCAGCCTATCCCACGATACATTGCGCACCGGTGACCATTATATATTTAGTTAACTAACAGCTGTTAACTAGCTAACAGTTAACTGTTAGCTAAAAGCACACAGCTTAAACAATCTGAATTTAATAAGGTTACCTGAAAACTGTCCATCAGCCTGAAATATATGAAATGGCGGCATCTCTGGCGGTGAATCATCTCCTCAAATACTAAATAAAAAACATAATAACAATCTCTGGGTCCATGATTTACCGCTAACTAACTTCCTAGCTTACTCCTTCTTTCGTCAAGCGCAGCTAGTTGCTAGCTAACAGGAACGCCAATGGGTCAGGGCAAGAACAATTGATGATGCAACCAGGAAATCCTCTGCAGACCAGACTGTCCCATTTTGGAGACCGTTTGGTTTGGCTAATGCGGTCTTCGAAGGACGTGGCCAACATCGACCCCAAAGGCCGCGTCCTTCAAAGGCTGCAGCCCCTGAGCTGAGACACGCCTAGTGACTCATTTAGTCTCTGCCACTGAAACACAGGGTTGATTAGAGGAGACTGGGGCCAGTTGGAACAATTTTTGGTTTTGATGTCATGACTGAAAAACCTCTTGAACTATCTGATACAGATTGTTATGTAGGAAATTTGTATCTACTACTACTTGTTAACAGTCAATTTGTTGTTTTTACAAGCAATTTTAGAGTCACAATATCTTTTTAAAGATCTTTTTTTTGCCTTTATTAGATAGGAAAGCTCTAGTGTGAAATGGGGAGAGAGAGGGGAGATGACAGGCAGCAAGGGACCGGAGTTGGAATTGAACCCACAGCCGCTGCAGCAAGGACATGGTCTTTGTACATGAGGCGCCTGCTCTACTAGATCAGCTTTTCCTGCGGTATCAAAAATGGTTTTGATTATCGATATGTTTCAAGTTACTGTATTCAAGTTATAAAGTCCAGTATTCCGACAACACTCTCTGGCACTCCATAGTCTACAAAGGAAGTGGTACAAAAGTTGCAATAGATCATTTCTACAATGCACTCCAAGCAGGAAACACTGTGTCGACCAGCAACCCTGACGCACATGAAGGTGCGAGTGCCCGTTTATTGCTGCTTGCAGCTTTAATTATTGTCCTCCTCCCTCAAACACTCTGGTCACAGCTAGATCCCTCACCTCCCCTTCACTACAAGGACATGGATACTTTATGTGAGACACATGCGAGCTCAGCGAGCCCAATGAAGCTGTTATATTAAAGTGAGTTACAAACAAGCAGGAGGATGAATTCTTTAGCTCCGAGCATCAAGGGAGGACGGATACTCTCTGGGGAGGAACCCTGCATTCTGCTCCATCCATACATTATTCATACATCAACAACACCTGCAATGCAGAGCGCCTTTGGTGTGAGGCTTGGGGGGGGGTGAGGAGAGGAGGCTTGGGGATGAGGAGAGGAGGCGTGGGGGTGAGGAGAGGAGGCGTGGGGGTGAGGAGAGAAGGTGCAGGGATGAGGAGAGAGGAGGTGTGAGGCTGGGAGGGAGGCATGGGAATGAGGAGAGAGGAGACGTGGGGATGAAGAGAGGAGGTGTGGGGGTGAGGAGAGGAGGCGTGGGTATGAGGAGAGAGGAGGCATGGGGATGAAGAGAGAGGAAGCCTGGGGATGAGGAGAGGAGGCATAGGGATGAGAAGAGGAGGCATGAGGATGAGGAGAGAGGAAACCTGGGGATGAAGAGAGGAGGTGTGGGGGTAAGGAGAGGAGGCGTGAGGATGAGGAGAGAGGAAACCTGGGGATGAGGAGAGGAGGCGTGAGGATGAGGAGAGAGGAGGTGTGGTGGATGAGGAGAGAGGAAGCATGGAGATGAGGAGAGAGGAGGCGTGGAGATGAGGAGAGGAGGTGTGGGGATGAGGAGAGTAAGCATGGGGATGAGGAGAGAGGAGGCATGGGGATGAGGAGAGGAGGCGTGGGGATGAAGAGAGACGAGGTGTGGGGATGAGGAGAGAGGAGGCGTGGAGATGAGGAGAGGAGGCGTGAGGATGAGGAGAGAGGAGGCGTGGAGATGAGGAGAGGAGGCGTGAGGATGAGGAGAAAGGAGGCATGGGGATGAGGAGAGGAGGCATGGGGATGAAGAGAGAGGAGGTGTGGGGATGAAGAGAGAGGAGGCATGGGGATGAGGAGACGAGGTGTGGGGATGAGGAGAGAGGAGGCGTGGAGATGAGGAGAAAGGAGGCGTGGAGATGAGGAGAGGAGGCGTGAGGATGAGGAGAGAGGAGGCGTGGAGATGAGGAGAGGAGGCATGAGGATGAGGAGAGAGGAGGCATGGGGATGAGGAGAGGAGGCATGGGGATGAAGAGAGAGGAGGTGTGGGGATGAAGAGAGAGGAGGCATGGGGATGAGGAGAGGAGGCGTGGGGATGAAGAGAGACGAGGTGTGGGGATGAGGAGAGAGGAGGCGTGGGGATGAAGAGAGAGGAGGTGTGGGGATGAGGAGAGAGGAGGGGGATGGATGAGAGGTGTGAAACGAGAGCGAGGAGGTGCAGTGATGCTCAGCAGTTTGGTGAGAGGCTCATTTTTCTTGTGTGGCGCTCCTCTGTACAGGCTGGGTTATTAGAGCAACACATTTAGCCCTGCTCCCCCAGGAGTCAGGAGCTCACAGAGACGGGAGAAATTGGAGGAGGAGGGCACTCGACAATTGCTTATTGCGGTTATGATATCCCAAGGCACAGCATGACTATCTGTTGATGAGCTCTTGCTCTTTCTTCTCTTTTTTCACTTTTCTTTAGCATTTTCCCCCTTTTTATTCTCACTACTCTCTGCTTCCTATCTTTTTGTCTTTTCTTATTCCATCTCTTTTTCTTCTTGTCCTTTTTCCTTTCCTTCTTCCTTTTCTTTTTCATCCCATCTTTCCTCTTTTCATTTTTCACTTCCCTTTTCTTCCTGTCTTTTAAACTTTACTTTGTCCCTGCCTTTTCTTCTTGTTCTTCCTTCATTCCATCTTCCTTTCCTCCCACTCCCACTTTTTTGTCTTTCCTCCTTTTTCTCCCTATGTTTTAGTACTTCCACTGTCCATTTCTATACTTGCTGTATTTTTTCCCTTTCCTACTTTCCTACTTCTTATCTTTCCTCTTTTCATTTCCAATTCTATTTTTCTTTTAATGTTTCTTCTTTTCCTCTTTTTGTTCCTTTTCTGGTGCCCATTCGTTTTGTTCCCCTTCTCCCCTTTTCTTCTTCCTTTCCTTTTTCTCATCTTTCCTCTTTGTTCACTTCCTTTTCCTACCTTTTAGTCTTTTCCCCTTCCCTTTCTTTAAGTTCTAATCTTTCCTTCTTTTACTCTTCACTTCCTATTACACCGTCTTTAAATACTTCAACCTTCCTTTCCTTTTCACTTCTTCCTTTCTTTTTCTTCCTATCTTCCCTCTTTAAATGTTTGACTTCCTTCTTCCCCTTCCTTTTGCTTCCTGCCTTTCCCCCTTGTCGCCTCACCTTTTCTTCTCACTCATCTGTCACACCCATCAGTGTGAGGGCAACTGTTCATAAACCCTCAAAGAGTCACACTTCTCTTTCTTGTGCTGACATGTCACTGATGATGACACTCACACACAGCAAGAACACACTCACCTGTCTCGCTTGTGTTTCTTCCCACTCTTTTTCTTCTTCTCTCTGTGAGTGGGTGAGGAGCTGCCGAACCTTTTGGTGGAGAGAAGGGAAGAATTTGCATGCCATGACAAAGATGCAAAATGAGCCTCAGATTGCTGCCAGCTTCTGGCTTTTCACTCATCACTGTGTTCCATTACATCACACCGTCAGAGGGGATCATTGTTAGCAAAGGTGACAGCTGATGTTTCTCTCTTTGTCCCCAGCTCCATTCATCTCTCTGCCTTTATCTTCTTATCCTTTCTTCTCCTTAGCATTGTCTCCTTCTCTCTCAGTCTCTCACTCTGTCTGTCTTCTGCTGACCTCGTCAAAAGACAATGGGAAATGAGACTTTGCTAATGACTCCTTAAAATCGACCCCCCCTTTCTCTATGATTGCAGTATCTGATAGCTCGTTAGAAATATTCCAACAAAAATAATTGGAATTCCATTTCACAAAACCACAGTGTAATTATTCTGTCAACGAGGCGGCAGGAAAAAAGAGAAAGGACAAAAATTGAACCACTTCATCAGCGGAAGCCGTTTCCACTCACCGACTCCTTCGGCGGCCAGATTTCTTCTTCTTCCTTTTCTTTGGACGAGGGGATGGAGAGCTGCTTGATTTCCTCTTCACTCTGAATTGGCCACAGAAAGAGAGAACAAGTGGGGGAGCGAGATTGAAAGTGAGATCCAGAGTGAGAGAGGCAGAAATAATTCACAAGTGATTGTTATAATAATTTCCAGAAAGAATAAATTTCTGATTATAGTTATTTGCTACTGTGCGAGGTGATAAGGGTCTATTTTCTCATTTCCTCATTTCATTCTGCCATAACATGCAATACATCAGACAATGGAAACAGGAAATCACTTTGAGAAAATGACACTTAATCTTTTCTGCCAAGTGTCACGTCCAGAAAATCTAAATAACCATCTGCATTATGGTTTGCAAACGTAAATAACAACAGATGTTCATCTCCAGGTGCGTGCTGTTACTGTGTGGTGGAGGAGAGCATTTCATCTTGGGATTCATTTATGGATAGTACCATAGGAAACACCCAGCGGCCATGTGAAGGAGATAATGGGTGGCTGATTTAATTCACCACTTGAGGGGTTACAGCTGGTCAACACATCAACATTAAACAGCATGTGTGTGTTTAAACATGTGCTTTACCGGTTGTCGCTGTGGTAATCATGGTCATAGCCTCCGACCTGATAGCCAACCAATTCAGGGTCTTCTTCGTACCCATCAGGCCGATAATGCAGGTGGTTGATCCTGGAAACACAAGAGTCAAGGGTCATAAATGTGGAGTGTGTGTGTGTTGAGAGTGAAAGGAGTAAAGCCTTCACACTACAATTCTGTATTTTTTGTATGCACAGAAGCCGATGCAAAGCAAAATGCAGTCTTCTTGAAAAAGGAAAAATATTGGGCCCATCCAATCCTGAGAAGGAGTGCAGAGAAAGTAGAGTTTACCTGCTGATAAAGGAACAGCTGAATCATCCTGATCATTTCAAGGTCTGTTTCAGCATGTCAGTGATCCAGTTTGATATGGTACTAGCAATACTGGAATCACTTTGCTGCTGCTCTCCCTGCCTTAGACTTTCCATGTAGGCGCGTGGAAGGGCAGGGAGGTTTGCTCTCTCTGCCTTAAGGCTTTCCTCGTAGGCGCGTGGAAGAGACTTTCTGCATAGGCCTAGGAAAGGCAGAGAGGCCCCAGAACAGAGTCATACCACCAAATGTAATAAAGTTTTCTTTGACGAAAGTGGCTGACTGAACTAGTGGCAACAAAGGCCAACTGTTGCGTTGCCTCACATCGCCTGCGTCTTGGACAAAAAGTTGGCCCGACATTGACCAACGGCTGACCATGGGCTTGGTGTGTCAAGGCTCTAAGGTGTTGTGTAATGTAACTTACTGTGAGAGAGTGGAGACAAAAGTTGGACAATCCAACTTTAGAAGATTAAAGATCTGATGATCGGGTGGAAGTAACATCAACTGTCCTACCTACCTACCTACTTACCTACCTACCTACCTACCTACCTACCTATGATTTGAATTTTTTTTAGGAATTGTGATGGAGCTACATAAAAAGTGGGACATTTTACAGTTGAAAAAAATCAACTTGTCAGTCCTCTCAGGTTTTATTACAGTTTAACCTGAGGGGAACACAAATGTCTGCACCAAATTCCATGGCAATCCATACATTAGTTGTTCAGACATTTCATTCAAAACCACAAATGTGAACCTGCTGGTGGCGCTAGAGAAGTCGGAGGATGACCAATGTCAGTAGGATTCATTCTCTGGGGATCATGAATTTAGAAAATTAATGGATATCCATCCGATAGTTGTTGAGATTTTTCAGTCTGGATCAAAGTGGTGGGTGGACCTGATGAAGCTATGCTGCTGGATAATGAATGTACCCAGCGTGCACCTACCCATCTGGTGCCTAACTTTGTTCCAAAAAACATTAAGTTAAATATATAAAAATGAGATGCTCACACTGAACTTTTTTGTGACTATGGTTTTACACTGACATTTGTAATCTTCTCTCATCCCGGCAGTGAGAATATCATCATCTCTCTCACTCTTACAGCTTAGCTTGTGGGATTCATATCTTCCCACTTGTTCCTCACACACACAGTGTATTGTATATACAGACAGATGGCAGCAGCCTCTTCCCTAATCCTCCCTTCCCGCTACCCCCTCCTCTCTTATGTGGCCTCCTCTGATCCACCAGATCTGACCTTGCAGGCTCCATACGGGCTAAAGAAACAGATAAAGAACATGCCACACTGATTATTTTTTCCCCCATGCAGTCCTATCTCTCTGACCTTGTACTGTTATAAACAGAGCAGGCCACGCTCTGGGCTTTCTGGTACCTTTCATGCAGAGATGCTACATACGGAAGTGGAGGTTACTTTTATTAGAGTGATAATGACAGAGACACAACCTCGATGACGAACCATGCAGCCTCGATTAGTAGGAGAGAGATGAAAACAGGCAGGACTAATGAGATGAAGAGCAACACACAGAAAGAAGATGACAAAGCAAAGGATGGTGCATCTCTACCGAGGAGATCAAACACACCATCAGAGTGAAGAGCAGGGCTGGTGCAGAGAAAAAAAGACAAAGTGAAGTGGTGTATAGAATGTGGAAGGAGAGAGTGTGGAGGATTTGAACAGGACACAAGCCTGATGGTTAGTTAGGAAGAGATGAGGCAGCAAAGCTCTTAATTGGCTAAGCACCACTGGGCACAGCAGGGATGCCAAGAACCAGCGAAATAACCTCACTTCACAATGACAGCGTTTTCTCTGCACAGAGAAGTGTTGCAGCCCCCCACACACACACTGCAACATGCGCTCTGATGAATAAACTTACAAAAATCATGCTAATTTGAACTTGAGCAACAAACACAACAGTCTGCAAAAACAGAATCAATTGGGGAGAGAAGTAAACAACTGCAGGCAGTGTGGGCGTGACACAGTTCACATGGGAGAAGGAATTTTAATGTGAACAAAGTTAGGAACTCTATTAAGTTAGAAACTGAGAGTCAATATAGATGCACTACTGTTGATGGCACTCATTTTATTACTGAGAAAAACATGTAAATATTGAGCAGAGGACACATGTAAACCTCTTGTAACAGTATCTTCTTAGTCTAGCTATTGAATCGTGAAGTGAAAGAAGACGGGAGCCGCTGAGGGAGTGGTGAATGATTTATGGACTTTACATGCTCTGCATTTTGCCTTACAGGCTAACACCCTACCCTCTGAGAGGTGGAGGTTGTATACAAATGCTTTGTGGCAGAAACATATTCACTTTAACCCAAACCACATTTTTTTCTAACCTTAACAACACGTGTCTTTCTGGCAGAAAACCTACCAGGCAGACTTCCTCCAGCAGCAGGTTGCAGCCTGAGAGGAAGACTGGAAACATGACTCAGGGCTTTCAAACCACCTTCAGTGATTATCAAGTTTTTGACCTTGTATATGTCCACAGAATGTTTTTATATGCTACAAGATAAGCAGTCATGGCTGAGCATTTCCACCTTAGAGCTACAGTGTACCAATGATGGTGACAAAACTTCAAATTCAGACAGCCAGATTTTCATTCGTCACAAGCATAAGGAACCAATCCTGTCAACTTGTGGGGTGGAGATTTCCATATCATTAGCATAACCCTAAGACGAAACAAGTAGAAGCCACATGTTTTGTTACTTCTGAAGTTCAGTTTCAATTTCACCCTCTTATCAGAGATGGCATTCGTGAAGAAGGTTTGTCCAAACACATTATTAATGTGCTTCACATGAAAATAGACATAATGGACATAAAACAGAACTGATTCATAAAATCAGAGTTGGAAAACTATAAATCATAAAATCATGTAAGATTTTAAAAGAGTTGCAGCAGCATGAAGCATAAATAGAAAGTAAAAGTATGAAAAGAAAGAGTTTCAGACCTGTATCTGGACGACAGAACCTGACCCAGAACCTTTAGTTGGTAAATTGTATATTCTTTTATAGTCAATATTCTTCTCAAAAGATGCTAGAATTTAACATCAAACAAATATTCACATCAACGACAGTTCTCTTCAACCCAGTTGCCAGAAGAAAATGTTGGCATTATAAGTTTCTGCAAACCAGAAAACTGTTAACATCTGTTAATATCTTGAACTTTACATTTCATTGTTCAGTTGTGACAACGCTGCTGTTGATGAGTGCTTAGATTTAGGCTCAAAATTTACTTGGTTAGGGTTAAGAAAAGATCATGCTCTGATCTAGAATACCCAGTTTGGTTGCAACAAACATAACTGTTGTCAAAATGGTTTATAATCCAATCATTTGACCCTTTGCTAAGTCCCGCCCCCAGACACAGACTGGCCAATCATAACAAAGCATCTGGCCGGGTCAGACCAGGGTCCGACAACAACACAGCTGCGCTCCATTTACTCTAATGCAGTCGTTTCAGATTT